GAGACAGCCTCCTACCTTCTCAGTCTCAGTCTACTTCTGGGTTCTCCTACGGGACTACGACAGTATGAAGAATGGCCTTGCTTCCTATTGTCATTGCCATTGTAGCACGTGTGTAGCCCAGCCCATAAGGGCCATGCGGACTTGACGTCATCCCCACCTTCCTCCAGTATATCACTGGCAGTTTTTTGTGAGTGCACGAATTCTGATAACATTTGGACTGTCTCTTATACACATCTAGATGTGTATAAGAGACAGGTGTGTGTGTGTGTGTGTGTGTGTGTGTGTGTGTGTGTGTGTCTGTGTGTGTGTGTGGCATTCTGAGCCATACGGGCAGGGTAAGCCTGGTTCCAGACAGGCAGGGTAAGCCTAAGGGACGACGGTTCAGATGAGGCCCAGATGGGCCCAGTCCAAAAGGCCACAAGGCCGGTACCGGTCCGGCCTAGGACCTACCGGCGGCGCTGCAGAGGCTGCCACAGTTTTGAGCGCCAACCAGTTTTGAAACTGGACTGTTGATCTAGATCAACGGCCCAAGCCAGTAGGAACCAGCATGTAGGAGGCCGGCCCAGCACTACAAAAGGCTGGGTACCAGCCTCAGTAGAGAGGTTAGTATAGACGAGAGGTTAGTCTTCAGGATTAGCGCAGCGCTGCAGCACAGCACGGAGCAGCGAGAGCGAAGAGTCCAGCGGCGAGCGGACTAGCACATCACCGGTTACCGGCCCAGCCCCTTGCAGCACCATAGCGACGGTACCAGGTATCAGGGAGGAAGGCTTCGCCTTCTCTCCCTCTTCCCCTCCATCGCTCCTCTCTCCTCTCTCTCTCTCTCTCTCCTCCTACCTTCTCAGTCTCAGTCTACTTCTGGGTTCTCCTACGGGACTACGACAGTATGAAGAATGGCCTTGCTTCCTATTGTCATTGCCATTGTAGCACGTGTGTAGCCCAGCCCATAAGGGCCATGCGGACTTGACGTCATCCCCACCTTCCTCCAGTATATCACTGGCAGTTTTTTGTGAGTGCACGAATTCTGATAACATTTGGAACAGCGACATTGGGATTACGAGTTGAGGACTACATGGGGACCTGAATTCATCTTCCTTCTGAAGATGTACTTGACATTGTGAGATCGATATCTGAGATATTGTGAGACTTGGCATTCACGACATTTCGGATTTTCGTCACTTCTGACAATTCAAGATACTATCTTTGGAAACATTGAGTTGACGTCATCTTCCCTCTCCTCCTCCTTCGTCTCTCTCCTCTCTCCCTTCGTCCGTGGATGATCTCAGTCCCTGGCCCTTCGTCTATGTCTGAGGCCAGGGCATTCACACCCCTGATGACTGTTTGAGAGTGTTTCGATTGCAGTCCGAGTCAGGTCCGAGTCAGTCCAAAGGTATCTCAAGTCTTCCGCTTGCATTTGTATTAACTCTATATACTAGATGACCCGTTGAGGCTTCGCCCGCAAAAACAGAAAAGGAAAAAAAGCACAAAAGAAAGAAAAGGCATAAGGAACTCCCCTATCATATGCCGCCGACGACGCCGAGCCTTTTTTTCCTTTTATCTTTGAGTGTTTTGTTTGGGGAGCCATTACCTTCGCAGCATCGTTTTTGTTTTGTGATGTGCAAGAACTCTGCACTTTTCTGAGAAAATCCTGTCCATTGTCCCGTTGATGTTTTTGCAGCTAAAGATTCAGATTCAGACTTTGTTTGCTGTGTTCTCTGGATATGTTTGTGATCAACCCATCTTGCATGTATGCATGCCCCGTGCTTACTTGTTGAGTTTTTACGCTATGTGCGCAAGTACATGCGTGTGTGGGTGAGTCTCACTTTGGTGGTCTCGGATGATGTCATTGACGATTGGCCCGAGGAAGTTGAAGGACATCGGCTACAACTATAGGAGTGACACTGATGTTACGCAGGTTTTGCATTGTATGAATGAAACAATCAGCATTCAATCTGCTTGGCAGTTGCTCTTCGGGTGGGGGACTTCTCGGGAGTAGCATTGACATGAGAGCATCTTGGAGCATTTCCGGGAAGGCAAAACGCAAAGAAGAAACGAAGTAGCACGTGTCAGAGTCACATAACGGACAGCTTGGCACAGTCCCCCCGTTCTCTATCTCTCTCTCACACACAAAAAAAATAAATAAAAGAAAATCAAAAGACAAAAGACAAAAGACAAAATACAAAAGACATCCTGCCACTTGGCGCGGCTATACCACTCACCACCTCGCCGGCTTCCCCTCACCCTCCTTTCCCCCGTCTATCTCTCTCTCACACACACATACGGAAAAAAAAATAGAGAAGAAAAAGACAAAAGAGCATGATGAACCTTTAACCTCCCCCCCAGTCACCGACTTCCTCCAAATCCTCATCGACTCCCCCATC